TTACCTGATTAAACACAGTCAAGGGAAAGAAAAGAACACATACATACAAACATATTGATTACTCTTTGTGAAGGGAGCAACCAATGTTTGGATAGCAAATGTTGCTAATGGATTATGACAACATTCGCCACAACACAAAATAGTATTTATAAAAACAATCTAACGCAATGTATCTATGAAAGAATTTATCCAAAACAATAAAGAATATAGTCAATGACATACTTGGAACAATAAACATGCATGTGCGCATATTAAAAGCACACATTTCATATGGGAATTACACTTTTGTTTTACTCTTTCACTGTTTTATGGACTTGAAAAAAGTATTTCTACACTTACTTGTAGTATCTAACTCAAACCCTGCACAATTTAATGTGATATTACACAGTCACCACATTAACCTTTGGACCTCTTCTCGAACGTACATACAGTCCACACAACATGCATAAAAACTGTTAGCTTAATAGTCTAATATTTCCCGTTACTGTACTTCAGCCATTGTTTGCAGATACTAGTCATGGCACTTCAGCTTTTATTAGGAAGCCCAAAACTGAGTAGGTACCAATAGTTAGTAAGAAAGTAATTTAGAATTACATTAAAAAGGTTTTTAAAACTACATGAAAAGGTTTCCAGTGGTTTTGCTTTGTTTTAATAAATGCAATATGAATTTGTCACATGTAAAAGCCACAGAAACCAGTCCAATTCTTATTTATAAGAAAATCCCATATAGCAAGAAAAGTTTCTTCCAAGATTTTCTTCATACTAGTTCAGCTGATTACTATATCGAGCTTGCATATTAAACTATTTGTGTTAAGGAGCAGCAGTACATTGGTCCCACTGCTTTACACACTGTAAAAATAAACACAGAATACTCTCTGTGTGACAACCTCAAAGCAGACATAGGACAAGATGCAAAAAAAATTAATGAAGAAGGTAAAAAGGTAAAGGTTAAACATGATTAGGAACAGAAGGCTACAGAATAATGGCTAATAGATTTTACTAATAGACAAATCAAAAGAAAGCAGTCCTCTAGACTGGCATCAGTTGTCTGTTTATGCTGCAGAAATAAATCATGTATTCAAGCCATAATTCAAATAACTGCACTACACATATCAAAGATTTTCCTGTAAAAACACTCTAGTCAAAAATTTATACACTATTTCAATTCAACTACCTTATAGAAATTAACTTGATTTTGTAAATATTAATTCAAATTTTAAACATCGATGTTATTCTAGAATCTGATATCTGCTCCTTCTCAATACACAACATCACAAAATGTTGAAGTCTAAAAAAAGAATTCTTTTTAATCACAGTAACTCTGACATCTACCCGTTACTACTCAGCATAAAGCTTTCTCTTTCGTGCCTCGCAATCTTGTACCAAAATGCTGCAAACTACCAGCAAAAACAGCTGATAATTTTAACTCCTCTTACACCCTATAAATGCAACTAATATTTCAGTCAATTAAACCTAATCTTCTTAGCCTATGAAATGATTAACAGTTACGCAACTAATTATGTCTAATTTTAGTTTCTATGTTTCTATTTTTGGTGAAGATCTGTGAGAATGGTATACAGCTGAGAAACATTTTGTATCTGTTATTTTAGGAAGAAAGCACTGAAAATAAGATTCAACAAATATTCTATTCTTCAGTAAGCAGAGAACTAAGCACACTGAAAACAGCCCTATTAACAGCTCCTATTTTGATTACAGCAGCAAAGACCTAATCAAACAAAGTCACCAATTTTTTTAGATGGATCACAACAGCAGATAAATGAAACTTCACTTTGCACTGCTAGGCAGAACTGAGAATATTAAGACTCAGAACTATTTTGTTTTAAAAGTAGAGGAGATGCTGAGTGAACTGCTTGAAAGACTGGAAGACACTTTATTACAAACACAGCCAAAGTGAACAAACAGACTTTTCTACTGAAGCAATCAAACAAGAAAATGTTTCAATAATGTGTATTTTTCAGACACATTAATTAATACCTCAGGACAACATATTAAAGTCACTTTTACCCTTTCTACCCTTGAGTGAAAACAGCCTTTTCCTAACCTAGTAGCCTCTAAGACAGAAAATCCCAAACACACAAGAACAATGACCTTTTACTACCATGTCCATAAGAAGATCATTCACAGCAGCATAGACCTTATTTCAGGCTGAGACTTATGGGAAAAAATTAAAGATCTTTTCACTAAAATTCAACTACGCCAAGACCTTTTACTGGTCTTCATTTACTTAATTTTGTCTGGAATACTGCATAACTTTTCAATGTGAAAGCAAAAAAATGAAACTAAAATCTATTCTACTGTTTTTTCTGTGATTTAGTGTTTACTGATTTAATTTAAACCAATTATAACTTAATTATTTCATATTTATAACAAAAAATCCTGCCAAAAACATGAAGAAAATTTACTTATAGTTGTACTGCACAGGTTCACATATGTATAAGACAACCAGATTTTCTGAAAACTATCAATTGGATCATAACAGCAGAATCTGGAAAAAACCCAAACATAAATCTAAATAGGTCACAGTAATACAGAGAAGAGAGCTATAAAATAACTGGTGAGAATTTTGACAGTGTTATGTTAACTGGGTTTTCTTAGTTCTTATCCATGATTATTTCATTACTTTTCAGGTTAAAAGACCTCAAATAATAAAACTACAGAACACTAACTGTCTGAAACAGCTGTCAAAAATGAAGAACAATGATTTGAAGCACAGAGTTTCCAGACTAGAAGTACATTTGGTTATTGTGGATTGTCTTTAAAGACTGCTGGTAAGAGCTACAGTGAATGTCCAGAGCAAGAGACCTTCTACAGTCCTGTACTATCAAACCCTACCAGAACAGCCAGACTCTGCAAAGAACAATGTCAGATTCATTAAACATAAGCAATGACTAGACTCTTACAGTTTCCAAAGAAGGGGGGAGGAAATTAAAAAAAAAAAAAAAAAAAAAGAGAAAAGTTCCAAAGCAATCTACCATTTAAGAAGCAACCAGAGCAAAATCTGAGGTCTGATTTTTATAGGTAAAATTACTTAAACTTTAGCATGTGTGCTACTTCCTCATTCACTGATTGCCAGTTATAATTACAGCAACCTGTAGTTTACAGAAGAAAACCATATGACATTTTTCGAGAAATGTAATTAATTTGATTTCATTTGTTAATGGCTCCTTTCATTTGGCTTCCTTCTAAGATCTCACATGCACCTACATCATCAAAAGACATATGAGAACATTACAACATGAGACAACTCTATATAAAGCCCCTCATAAAAAAAGAAAAAAAATCATCTTTGGCATGAGTCCAGCTTCCTTCCTAAGATCCAATAGGTAATTTCCACTCCTAGAGCAGATTATGAGTTCTTCCAATACCTCTGCAATCTCAGTTCTAAGGATATTGCTTTTCTTGTGAACACCTTAAAACTTTATTTCCTACAATTTTTTCAGGTCCTTAAAAGAGGAGGAACCCTGCCTGCCTAAATTTCATGGTTCCAGTCTCAAAACTTAAAAAGAAGTAACCTCACTCTTTTTTTGCTAGTCATCACTTGTGTCACTTCATTGCTCTGTAGCTGCATGGAGATGGGGGCCTCAGGAACCACGAGTTCACAGTGACTCTGCTTTATTCTTAAAATACAGTTTTCCAGTTGAGAAGCTCTATCAATGGCACTACTCAATCATCATAGCCAGGACTCAAAAAGGTCAGAAAACAGTATGCTGCAAATTCATTTTCCTGCCCTTAACAGCACAGCTTTCTGTAAGAAAGGGACAGGATACGAATAACTACTACCAACTTCATATATTGCCCCCCCGTCCACGTGGAGGGGAAGAAGAAATTACAGAAATGATGTGGTATGGCCAGTTGGTCAGTTGAACAGCAGCAAAGCTCAAAACAGAACTTTTAGGTTTTGGACAGTCCCATGCTCACATTATTCATTAAGCTGTACCAGTGCCATCCACTGGCACACAATAAAGACTATTTACACTGGTAATTTCTGATTAATAGCAAAAACATTCTATAAATCTATGTCTAGGTGTATATATATGCACACACATGCACACAGACATTTATTCTTAGCAATAGATCTGCCCTGCTTCTAACCCACTACCTCAATGAAACATCAGTAAACAAAGAAAGCCTGAAGGCTATCACATAAACCAATTGAGTTGAATACAAATCATCTCCCCTGACAATTTGGTTCCCTTTCTGAATGCTTTGCTCACTGGATACAAGGGGAAGATACAACCAAAAGTAATAATTTAACACATGGCAAATAAAATCCTAAGCAACCAATATTACATCAACAGCAAAAGAATCAAGCTGCTGAATAATTATCTCCTCAAAGCCATCTAGAACTATTATCGAAACAAAAGCTGGAGATTTTTTTTTTCCCTAGATAGAAAGCGGACGAACCCTCCTCTCAGCTGAAGCGAGATGAGCAGGAGACCACAAACATTGCTTATTTCCTCCCTTCAACACTTACTTTTTAGGTTATACCCCCTACCCTGGTAAAGCTACCACCTAATTTACTGCTGTTGCTGTCACAGATACTCTACACGTGTTCTGTCCTCCTTGGCCAAATCCTGCAGCAAATACTTCCACCAATTCTCACAGATGTTGAGTCAGGCCTGAATTATACCTCCGTTAAACACTGTATGCCATCTCATCTCCAAGTCAACAATTCCTGAAAAGTTATTCCTCCTGACAGCCAAATGGGCTCCGAGTTCCCTGTGGTTTCTAAGTGTGCTGCACCCCCCATCTCCAAACGTGCTCCATGCAACTTGCAGTACCAATCTTTCTTAATCTTTTCACACATTGGTATTAAACTATCTCAACTCCAACTGTACATTACCAGATTTTGTGAAATCTAGAAACAGCAGAGTCAAAACAACTAGAGCTGTTATAAGATTACCACTCTAAAATGTGAAAACCCTGTTTGATTTTAGATGAGTAAGCTTATCTAAAGTAAGATAAGAACAGCTACTTACTGGCTTCGGCATTTTTGTTGTTTTCTTTAGTCTCTTGTCCACTTAAGTCTTCTACAAATGTTGTGTCCCCCTCTGTCAAAAACAAAATGTAAAGGTTGTTTTTAAATTAATCATAACAGAGTTTATGTACATCACAGCAAATAATACAAATTCTAAAGCGGGTAAACAAGTGCTCTACATGTACAAAATACACTTTTCAGTAGATAAATAAAAAGCAACTAAGTTAGCCAGTACCAGAATCTAGAGGTCCCTAAGTAGTAAACCCCTTCCTAGTTTTTGTAGAATAATAATCCACTAATGTCAGAATAAAGAGACAACAGTTTCCCCAAGTGCTACAAATTATTTTTAAAACTTTTGGTATCAGACATCTTCTAGTATTAAAAACCTTTAACATTATTTAGGTGGAAGTAAAATTTGGACAAGGAACTCCAAAGCTGCAATTCAATCTGTCAACTCTAGCCAAACTTGAAACATCATGAAAACAAAAGAAAAAAACTAACAACTTTAAAGCATCAAAATTGTATTTCACATCTACAAAAGCATTCATTTCTCTCAGTGAAGGAATTATATGGTCATTTTTCCCCGAATGAAGACATATGCAAGTATACCTTCACAGGAAAAAAAGAAGAAAATTTGCTCTACTTAAAATAGAGCTTTTTTTTTTTTGTTGTTAACCAGAAAGGCTGCAAGTTATGTCTACGTGGTAATGAAAGCATTCACTACCATGTTCCGTTCCAAAAAAGTTTTTATGCCTTGAAAAAAATATGCTTGCAATGTCATTGGTAGAGAGCATCCTGCCTCCTTTTCAATTCATTCTAACTCAGAAAGAATAGGCAGCTAGTCACTTTCTCGCATACTTTTAAAGTAATTACTTCCATGAATCAGTCTGCAAAGAGTACCAAAGGAGGCATTGCCCTCAAAAATAATATTAACTGGAATTACAATTATAGTAAGAAAAACTAAAGTGACATACTATTCTGAATAATCCGAGGTTCCAGTATTACAACTCCATGACTGCATCAAATTAATAAAACTTTCAAAAGTGCTTAAAATAGAATTAGGAGAAAACCAAAATGTTTAAAGTAATTCATTTATTAAAAACAAACTTTTGTATACATTATATATTGTTCATAAAGAAAAATGCAAATATATTGTTATATATATTTACAAAAGAAGTTTCTTCCTTGTTTCTTGGCAATAAAAAAGTACAGTAAGTGTTGGAAACTTTTGCACAGGAACCTAAGGTACACTAGTATTTAATTTTTCTTTTTCTAATCTGTAGAGATATGTTTGAAAAGAGGGACTGAAAAAAAGATATAAAGGATGAAAACAATTTAAGAAGCATCAATGTTAGCTGGTAAAGAAAAATGAATGTTAAGACTAAAAATTACAGAAAGATCTAATGGTATAATGCTGATATGGAGCAACTTTCGTTTAATGAAAAATCAGACAGAACAGTATCTTTAAATTACATGCATTACGACATAATTAATGTAGCACAACTATAAAGGTCTAATACTACATTTGCCTAACATAAAAGCAATTACATTCCAGTAAATTATTTTTTTAATTACAGAAGATAAAGTATTGGACAGTATCGGTAAGACTACTTTAGTACTGCAAGACATTGTTTGACATATGCTTGAAAAGTATTAATATGCTTTTCTGCAATTCCCCCCCTCTTTTTTTTTTTTTCTTTTAAACCAAAAAAGCTTGGGGGGAGGGGAAGTTTTTTCTGGGCCCTTTTAATGCTAGCTTTTGATAAAATTCAATAGCACATTTACAGTTCACAGAAGAGATCACCCCCTCTTCTCCCTCCTTTCCCTAATGCACTCCTCAGAAAAATTCAAAGGAGTAGTAAAAAGCAAAACAAGCTTGGCTCTAATATCTGCTACAGGTAAGCAGGATGCTGACCTGTAGTAATCCCCATGTTCACCTTTCTGACAGTAGAGGCTCAATGCTTGCAAAACTGAAGGCAGATTGAAGCCCTAGAGTTAAACTCAGTTAATTAACAATTCAAATGATAAATTAGATTCTCACCCTCCATTTTACAAGCCTGCTAATTCAACAGCACTAAAAGGAACAGAAAGTAGCACAACTATTTTTATGTGCCTATAGTCATAGTGGCATTGAAGAGAAGGGGTACGGCAAGATATCTCTAAGTCCAGTCTCCAGGAGACAACTGAGAGCACACGGCACAAGGCCAAGATCAGTGTTATCAACTGATTACTTTCTGAGGTCTAAGAGAGATCATGTTTATCACTTTATAAAATGACTGTCATACTCTCATACGTTTTATTATTGCAAATTCTTCCATAAATAAATTCCAACTCTTTGCTTTGGGTTTTACCCAAACATTTTGTTAAGCCACTATCAATCAACCCTCAATTACTTATTTGAAAACATATTTTAAAACCTTGAGGCAATTTTTAAAATCAGAAATGTGACAACAAAGTTTTATAGGATAACTCTGTCATCAAATCACAACTAGTAGACACGTAATTTAAATGAGTTTATGGAATTAAGTTATTGTTCACATGCAGTAAAACAAGAGTAAGAATGCTCTTCTGCAAAACTCAATGAAAATGAACTGTCCCTGTCAGCCCCACAGATCTCATGGGCCTGAAACTGTCACAGTACACAAGCAACAGAAAAAATCTCTGCAAAACAAATAACCACCCACATTTATTTGTAGAAGTGTTTGCTGTAATATCTTTTACTAGAGTTAAAAAAAAAAACAAACCTTATTAGTTCTTTAAAAAAAAATAAATTTCACAAATTTAGAGTTAACTATGTTGAACTTTTTCTATTTCAGATCATAAAGACCCTGGGCCATATTATAAGGGAAAAAAAAAATCACACTGAACTGATAGGGTCTACATCTTAAATTCATGGACCATTTTATACATAATCCAAAACCAGCCTGTGTCTATATGCTTTCCTACTCAAAACATTATGCAATTTCAAAACAGTATATTCATACAAAAGCATTGCAACTAAGTGTTGTGTGTATAAAAATAAAGCTAATATTAAAAACAAAAAAAATAAGGAAAGCACTTAGCCGGAAGGAACAAAAAAATAACTGCCAGGCAAAATATTGTGTATCTCCACTATTATTACTGGAGTGGGAGTTCACTTCTGCTACTTATGTGTTTCCAATAGATTTACATTTAGTGGATGCAATCATAGAAGTTTCACTAAATTTTTATCTTTAAAACATTTATTTACTTATACTTACTTTTATCTTAATACTCATGTGAAATTGTATTGCAAATAGAGGGAATAGCCAGCAGGGATTGGGAAGGATATCCCTATTGCTTCCTGTGTTCTGAAACCAGCTTGTGACCTACTAGACATAAAGGGTCATCACTTTGGCATTTCAGTTCCCAAAGGTATCTCTTCCAAGTCAAGATTAGCAGGGTTGTGACTCTGCAGAGTTCCTACTGCTACAGCACTCCAGCCCTCGGGACCTTCACAGCATACGCAGTAATCTGGACCAAACCACCAAAATATCTGCAGACTCCCCATCATGAACAAAAAAATCATCCAGAACTTCAAGAATTCTCTTGAAATGAAGAGCTGTAATTTCAATTAATTTCATTACAAGGCAGTCAGGATTTTTAAATCAGTATCATCCATGTTTCCAGTTATGCCACAGAAGCCAACAAAAAGCAATTGTTGAAAGATGACAAAGAAAGCTTTCTTCGGAAAATGATGGTGCATAAAATGCTTGATGCCAAAATTCTGTCAAATAATTTATGCAGCAGCTGTTTTCAAAAGAAACATTCATACACACAGCCATGGGTCTGAGGTCAGGTGAGGATGGGATAGTAGGCAAAAGGCTTGAGCAGGACGCCTGGCTGGCAAGGAGCAAGAGCAGGATCCCTATTGACAGCTTAGGACCTTCTCTCAGAACCACTCTCTTCAGCAGTGTGTCTCCTAAGCTCTAGCATGAGGCTCATCATCTATTTTCCTACATGCAGATGGCAGGGACCACTGAGCTTTAGTCACAGCAATGTAACTAACTCTTTTATTGACAGGAACTTCTTTAAAATTAATATACTTTTACTTTTCACTCAATTTTTTGTGATACTTAAAAGTTTTAGATCTCTGGGGAGACAGCAATAGGCAGCTTACAGGCCACTGTACCTGAATAACTGGTCTCAGCTTTCTGAAAAAAAAAAACAAAACACCTCTCTACTCCAAAGCAGCCTGTGAATGCCTGCAGGGCAATCATCTTTTACACTAACAGCTCCCTAATGACACAGTTGCTGTAGTCCAATAAAGAAGTTCCTTTGCCACAGACTTTACTTCTGCATACATCTTTTTCAGACGGTCAGAGAGGTTGTCTACACAATTGTCTGCAATGTAAGCAAACCAAGGGGGGAACGAAAACAAGCCATCTATCTCACAAAAAATGAAAAAAAAATAAAAATAAAGAGATGAATTCTGTAACACACAATAGAGATTTGACCAGCACTAGATATCACATGCAGAGTTTTACATATCAACTTTTTTTTTTTGAGTACTGTATTTTTACCTTCTTAAATCCACTCCCCCAAAGAAGGGGGGTTCTTTGAAATACTTCAGATGGGCTTGCTGTCACTCTGAAAAATGACCACAATATAACCAGTACAATTGTCATGCATTAAATGGATAGTTTAATGTATTTTGAAGAGTGAAGTGTTTCTTACAAACTGGAGTTCCTGAGACCTTCAGAAGTACAAACAAAAAGTTGGCAGTTGCCAACACAGTAGTTCAAAAGCAACACAGACCAGCCAAGGAATATTTGTGCAATACTTGCAGTTTTACCAGTTAATCAACTGGTATACTATAGATGTGCTATACAATTTACACAGTATTTATTAAGTTTAGCAACCTTAACTTCAAATTTCAGCTTCAAAGTGCCCACAAAAGCACGATCTGAAATAACTCTAAGATTCTGAATAGTCCTACATCCCATGTACATCTGATATACAAGTGGAAAAGGAAATTAAGAAGTGTGACCAATGCACACACTCTGTTGTTTCAAAGTGAAATAAACCTCTCTCTAAAAATACAGTCAGCAAAGAATT